GATTATTAATCCTTTTCGGCCCTTTGTATACTTAAAGGTACGGTATATAATATTAAAAATTACTAAAAAAAATTACTTAATTGATCTCTCTCACTCCCTCTCTTTCCCCTTTTCTCTCTCTCTCTCTCTCTCTCTCTCTCTCTCTCTCTCATTATTTCTCTCTTTCTCTTTACATCGTTTAATATAGCTCTTGGAGTTATCTACACGGAAGAAATGCCGTTAAATCAATCAAATTATACACCAGCAGCGTAATTAGAATAATTTTCTTAATTCAATGGCAAATATAATTAAAACTACAATGTTATATATTATTTCAATAGTTAAAGTATTAATTTCATTGATATTGCCATTGAATTAAAAAGATTTTTTTCCAATTAGGAAATACTATTGATTCAATAGTATTTTTTTCATTGCGTAGTTATAGTTTATTTAACTTAAAAAACAAGTCATCAATTTTCTTTAATTCTTCATAATAAAATTTTTCAATTTTCCCTACTAAAGTCACTTTGCAAATAAAACTTTTGGAACATTAGTCACATCTATCTGATATGTGTCTATTAAAATAATTAAATGTCCAAAATAAAGGACGTCAAAAAACGTCAAAAGGTGTTAATAGACCGGCTGGTATTTTTATGGTTACGAGGAGACACGATTGAATTTTATTATCGAAGCGCATCGGCAAGGTGAGCGGGCACGAGAGATAAATGCATGGATAGACAGAAAAAAAGAAAGAGAAGCCGAGGGCGGAAGGGAGGAGAGGGGAAGAAGAAGAGAGAAAAAAATCGACGTGTCACTCGTGCCATCTCCTGCGCGAACTTCCCTGCGTCCTTCACACTTGCACAGCGGCGATTGATTGTGCAAAGCCGCGCGGGTCATTAGTCGGGCGACACATTCACAGGTGGGCGCGGAATTCGCGCGATCGCGATATCGAGGGAGACAGCGACGTCTATTTAAGCGCGAGCTGACTGAAAACCCGCGCACGATGCTCCCATTTAGCGTCGTTCTCAGCGTCGTTGAGACGCGTCGTTGAGCCGTCTATGAATGACGAAAAGGGAAGAAGGAGGACGCACCCCGCGGATATCCGCGAGCACACCGCCCCCGGAGCTGATTCCGCGCTTGATTCGGGTCGCATTCACGGCGCATCGCGTCGGTTCGGCTCGCGATGAAAAGGCGTACCGCTTTCTGAATATATTCCAATTAAAAAGCCGGAGCTTCGTTACACTCGGGTCCTGCCGTCCCCCATCCCATCTTCCTCCGGACGCCCGGCAGCTTCGCCGCCGCCCTTCTCTTTGCGCCCCCGAGGCCGCCGACCCCTTTTACTTCTGGCTTTTGCCTTCCGTCAAGAGAAGGAGAGGTGGAGCGAAACGGGGAGAAACGCGGGTGTCCGCTACATTTTCTCCAGTGATTACTTCAGCGTTCTTCTTCGCTCCAAAGTATTAGAATCGACCCATCCACGTGCACGGTGTAAACGAGCAGGAGATTCGTAGGTAAGGACTGAATGCCGAAATTATATTTTGCTAGCGGTTTTATACTAGTACATATATATGTGCTAATTTCGACACAAGTATTACACCGAAATTTTGATATTTGATATATTTACACAAATCGGTTTTTTTCTTGTTTGTTGCGCATTATCGAAAAATACCGGTACACTGAGGGGAAAATATCTAAAAAAATGTTTGCCCGATTGGATACTAATAATATATTTACATAAATCTAAGTGCTTTTATTTAAATAAATAATGTGAATAATTATTCTCATAGATAGAAATAATAATTGCTTTCATGAAAAGCTGCATACTTCAAAAAATGTATATTCTTTTATTTAAAAAAAAAAACTTTCCTCAATAGAAAAATATATATATTGTTATTACATATATGGATATGTTATTAGTACCTACTGAATAAGTGCTTTTTTATTTTGTAGATATTTCATTCTCAGTGTGTATCAACGATATAATTAATACCGGTTTCTAGGCTGTCACTGGCGTATTCATGTTTTTCGCAAACGCGGGGAGAGAAGCTGCGGCTCCGACTCGGCCCGACTTCCGTGTGAAAAAGGCCGAAGAATCTTTCCTACGCGCACGTACGGGCTGCCCCCCGTCAAGTGTTTAACGATGCTGCGCACAACGGAGACACGGAAGAGGCCCCGAAAGAGCCGAGGAGGGATAAGAAGCGCGTGCCCAAGTGCCAACACGGCTCTTACGCGCATATGCACACGCGTGTGCGATTATTCGTCGCGGCACAATACGCACGTGGCGTGGACGCGTGCGACGCCACTTGTCGCACGTATCCCGTTTGGAATCCCTGTTTGCGACTTGCTCTTCGCCTCTCCGCAAAGATAATCGCGCAAAAGAAATAATCGAAAAAATAATCGAACCGAGAAGAGAGAAAGAGGAAGAGAGGGAGAAAAATCGAAATTAAGCACATGAAATTGTGAACAATATTTCCCGTTGTTCAGAGTGTGTGTAGATGTGTGTGTGTGTAGATGTGTCTGTGTTTGAAGTCTTCGTAATTACTACCTTTGTGATAAATATAATTACAAATCTTGAAGTTATTAAATTGGAGTTATTAAATTAATACGTTCCGTGCCGAACTAATTTTACATAATTTGTCGTCCACCGGACTATGTTGAGTCAAATTTTATTACTCACTAAGTTTCATAATAATTTAAGTTTCATAATAATTATCAAAGTATTTCATGATTATGTTTCATTTTAGAGTTGAATTATGAAGCGGCCTAAAAGAAAAGCTCAAGCGGTACGGAACTTCCTAGGTGACACAATTAATAAAATTGATGAATAAAACCAAAGTTATTAATGAAATTACGTGTGATGATGAAATTAATTAATTTTCTGCAATCCGAATCGAAAATGTTTCTTTTCCGATTTTCCTGATTGTTTTCTGATTTTCAATTTTTCCCCACAACCGAGAAATTCGTTTGCTGTCGCTTGCGCTCAAAAAGGAAATACGTAGAAATTTATTTTATTTGGTATTTTACTCATATAGTTTACGACGATACGTATAGTTTGCATTTATTTATATCAGTATTTAACTAATGCTACAACATATTTGCAACAATATATTTATGCGGAATATATCACTAATGAATTAAATGTTTATAGAATCGATTAAATGACACAATATCGAGATTAACTCGATATAGAGGACTCCATGGGATTAAAGTGATTAAATTAATTAAATTAATCAAATTAATTAAAATGATTTTCATTTTACAGAAAATTTCAATGAAAATTAACACGTGCAATCCAAGATTTATAATTATCTGATTCTACAGTCCTTCATATCCATATACATTTAAATGTAAAGTTTGTATGTAAAGGTTGAATTCTTCTTCCCATAATATATCGAATAACGAATTTTTAAAAAGAAAGAGTTTTTAAAAATGCAAATCACGAGATTTGCCGGTTGTATAAGAAGAACGAAGAAACTGGCGCGCAGTTCATTATATCAAAGTAATAATGCGTGATGGTTACCCGTTTCTTCTTCTTTTTAGAGAAAAAGAGGCACGTTGAACGTGAATTGACAGAAAGACCGAGGGACAAAACCGAGACGAGGATGCGCATGATTTTTCCTTCGTTCACGCAATTTCATGTTCGGAGATGCGAATCCGTCTTTCTTGCATATCGGATATGTGGAGGAGAAAGGAGAAAAAATCGCGAGTCGAGGTTTATTTCACTCTGAACACACTCGGAAGCGTCTTCCCCATTTTCTCGTTTCCTCCTCTTTTCGGTCGTGCCCGGGGAAACCGAAGGGAAAGAACAAAATAAAGCGGTGACGAGAGATTGCGAGAAATGCATCATGATTTCCGCGACCCCTCGCGCGGAAGAGACCATTACCTTCTTTTATATAATGTCACTTATACGTGACTAGTTGGACGGATAACACTGTTATCTTCACAAGTTACTCTCTTTCAGTAACGATTTGATGGCGATGTGATATTTTTTTCATTAATTTCAACAGTAATGCAGTTACATTTCTGGGATAACGATAACGAATATAATCAGTACTTTTTCCATTACTTTACACACACACACAAGTTAAGTTTAAATAATTTATATATTTTTTTTTAATGAAAAAAATGTGTGTGTGTATATTTTTTATTAAAGATAGAACGAACAACCCAATATATTTATACATAGAATTTATACATAGATGAGCGTAAGCGAATCCTAAAAAGATTTTCAAAGTTAAGTTAAAGAAATAAAAAATAAACATTTTGAGCTCTTCGGATTATGCGTCTTATTTCTTCAATTGTCATTATTTTTACCTCCGAATGTCACTTTATGTTAATTATTTTATCATTTGCGTCGTTAAATTTTCTAAAATAAAAAAAATATATATATATATATAGATATATAACATAGGTTTAATCGAATTATCAGCGTAATTCATTTACGAATGGCATGGCATTTAATGTGGTAAACATAATTATTATCTCCTCTATTTTACATCGATGTACAAGGTACGCACACATACACTCGCTCTTTCTCTCTCTCCCTCTGCCCCTCTTTCCTTTCGACCCAATTAGCGCAAGCAGCCGCGGCAAAAATCGTCGTGATAATCGCGACAGTTGCCGCGCGTTCTCTCATCGTTTCCGTGCAATTAGATTCGCTACATCCGCCAATTCCAGTCCGCGGCGAGCATCGCCGCCGTCGCCACTCGACTTGTATCGGTTTCAACCAATTACTCGTGCTTGGTCACGTGCCTATCGCCACGTGTGCGCTCCACTCTCCGGTTACAGAAGGTATATCGAGAAGAGATGTAAAACAACAATGAGAGATACAGATCTCTCTCTTCTCTCTCCGGGTACTTAGCGTTCACGAGATCGCCCAGGTCGACTTCAATCAATCCAATAGCGACGTAGAGACGCGATGGGAAAGGAGATGCGTGTAGGTGAGAAATATACATATTCGTTTGTTGTTGCTGTGTTGATAATAATCTATTTATCTACAATAACCTCTTCTATATTTCGTAAAAGTTGCTCGACAGATCGTTGGCGGCGAGTAACGATGGTCAACTGAATTAGTGAGGACGAGAGTTCGGTAGCGCCTGATGCACTCACTCACGTGTCGTCTCGAACATTGCACATTTGAATATTATAATCACCATTATCATTATTCGATCTAAGATTATTAAAGTAGCTACGAGCTCATCCTGCCGCTAAGTCGCGCAATTCGCTCAAATCGCCCATCGTTGATCGAGCGGACTCTTCTAGGGTACAGTTTATATTACCAAGTCGTAGCACGATTTCATCTCGTTTACGACGAAAAGTAGCTGATCCCCATTCGTTCATCTTCCCGAAGAACGTGATACTAAATCTGCATCTGTACGACGAGATCGAATAAAACTTACACATCGTATATGCAAAAAAGGTTGCAACAATTTCGCCCCGAATGAATTTCAGAACGCGTTCGGTTTCCAACAGGAGAAGTTGCTTTTTAGTAATCCTCCAAGGATAAATTTTCTTACTGGGTGTCGGATGTGTTCTGAAATTCTCCATCGAGGCAAAAATGCTGCAACCTTTCTTTCGAACTCATTTTTATATAAAAGTGTCTGTAAAAGCGGTATCAGAAGTTACCTGATTAGCTGAGAAGCCGCATTTAAGACACTTTCATTGCTAAAAGTGAGTTCAGAATAGACCTTTCTGTACATTTTTTTTTACGATGACGCCGATTCGGGTATTCCTACAAATCGGAGATGCAAGCCTCCACGAAGCTCCCGTCGAATTCAGCTGTCGAAAATTAATCGGCTACGACCGACCAACTCGGCTCCGTAATTACATATTTACAACGTTTACGTGAATCTCCCCGATTAACGCCTCGCATGTAAAGGGAAAACGGTGGGAGAAACGATCGCCGACTGAACTTTCGCCGAGCACAGGGGGAAATCTTCACGACGTCCGACGCGCTGAAGATTCAACGACACGCGGATCGGTTATTATCTCAATCGCCCCGCCAATCGCTTTCAGATACGAACGATGTATCAATTTCAAACGTAACGCGAGTTCGAAAGGTACCACCACTTGAGTTATGGGAAAAGGAAAGAACCCAGTGTGCACGAACATCGTTTTTGCGTGTTGCTCATTCATTACAGGGAGGGAGGAAATTTTACGATAAAAATCACTACAGAATTTTGCAACCGAGGAACATATCGACATTCTACCTTAACTCATTATCCCTCCGTATTTTCGTACGGGCTGTTTATATTTTAGGAATTGCAATCTACTGCTGGAAAACGTACTATATGTATATGTTCCTTAGCAAGGTAAATTCTATTGGAAATCTGCTTTAACCCCTTGCGTTGGCATTTATGCAGGCAGTAAAAAATTTTGTGTTCAAAACGGTTGAAGAAAATGTTTATGTCACTTTAACAAGGTGATTACGTCAAAGATTCATATGTTAACAAGGTGAGTATGTTAATTTAACATATATTAATGTTTTAATACATTTTAACATATTCCCTATTTTAAAGTAACGCAAGAATTTCAGTGGACCGTTTTTCAACGCAAAATGTTTTACCGTGCATCTGTTTGAGTCAACGTTCGGGAAGAACGATAGCATACATTGCATTTCGATTTTTGCGCGACCTCGCAGAATATTCTTAAGGATTCTCTTACTTCGAAATAATAAGATTAAGGCAGGTTTGTTAATTAAAACTAACAATGTGCACACTTGGCTCACGAAAGCACAATATCTGGAAAACGTTACTCTCTCTCCCTCAGCGCAAGAGTTGAATTTATTATCCTGCAGTATCTATCCACCCTGCGCTACCAGAGAAACGCGGTAAAGCTGAAAGGAGGATTTCACATGCTGAAAGAAGGCTACGACATTCTCTCCGTATACGCGTGTCGCTTGTTACGCAAAGCAATTCTGTCGAAATGAAAAATCCCCCGAACTAACTCACTAACGATTTCGGGAATCCCCGAAATCATCGGGAATGCATACCTGCGCGACAACACTTCAAGGTATACTGACACTCACGACACGAATGGTCCATCCGAGTCTCTCTCTTCCGTTGCGCTGATCCAGAAGCCGCCCCGAGAGTTTCGGAATCGCGCGGGTTAAAGCGGACAGCCGTGCACGTAGGTGACATTCCGGAAGAGCGCGGCCGCCGTGGAGAGAAATGCCGCCGTCGAGGCAGTGGACGCTGCCGGCGGCGGCGGCGGCGGTGGATGACTGGTTTGCGTTTGTGTATTGTAGGGCGAACAATAAGCGTCTATGCTGCCGTGATGGAGCCCGTGCACCAGGAGCTCCTTCTCGACAGTGGCCTGATGGCGCAGCTGCTCCAGTCGCAGTTGGTTCTGCCGTTTCCACTTCGTCCTGGAAATCCGCCGTTCCTCTGTTATGTACATCGCTGTTATATACAGAGCGTGTTGTATAAAAATGAGCGCATCTCAGTTTTGGAAATTGTAGTTTCTCCAGCACGAGCGTTGCGTCGACAATTTTTAGACATCCCCTGATATTATGTGTGTATGTGTATTGCACGCGATATATATAATAACTTCACTTGAGATTTTTAAATGGTTATTATTATTTTATTAGTTTTATTTAGTATAATATCTGCAGCTCTAAACGTTTTATGATGCATATGATAATAAGAATGGAAGTTATAATAATAATAATTTTTAATAATAATGCTCTCAAACATGACATGAAACCACCATCGTTCCCATGCTCATGAATTTGGTTTGCAATTCCTAGCCCGTTACTGGAAAAAAACAATCGTTACATGATTTAGTATATATGACACAAAAATAAAATGAAGTAGCAGTTATCTCTTAATTCGTGGTTACAATATTTTTGTAATTAGCGAATAATTATACAGGTTGACGGAAAGTTCCAAAATATCAGAAACTTCTAATGAACTACGTCATTACGGTCATCTTCATACATTGTTAATGAATTTCAAGCATTGTTAATATTGTTAACATCATTAACGTATATTTAACGAATTAGGATCTTTTTACAATATTATCTAAAGTTCGATATTTTTCAAGTAATCACATCCCCATGTTGTCTTTATAGTGAATCTGTGTGACGATCTAGATTTATTAAATTGACATCTGTGACAAATTGAGCATTTCTTGTTAGAGATGTGTTGCCCCCTCCCCCTCTTCCTTCTGTATATGTCTCTGTATGTGCATCTTTTTATAGTTTTACGCAAGCAGTCGAAAATTTACGCTTAACGTAACTCACGCATGAATTCAGCATAACAGTCAACATATTAACCCTTTGCAATCCCATGTCCTATGAATTTACCTCGACATCATATCTCGTTTTAGTCGATTATCATTAAATCAACCTCTTATTCATTTGATAAAATGCTCCGTATAAATATATTATTGTAAATGTATATCGTCGCATTGATTGCTGAAATATTGAAGCAAATATGCGAAGCAAATGAATTTCTACGGAGCGGCTCAGAAGGAAAGATGGAAGATAATTTGGGCCGCAAGAGATTGAGATAGTTGGTTGGTAAATAGAAGTGAAAAGTGAGATATTAACCTCGAGGAATACATATGAAAAGTGTCATCTTTAATTGCGAATATCTCAGCTTCCGAATGGTCAATCGTTTTCTAACTTTACAGACGAGTAGATAACATTCCCATCAAGATATGCAGCTAAAATTTAAAAGGATTCCTAAGAGAATAGTTTAATGGACCAACAATCTGAAGAAAATCCGTCGGTTTTCGATTTTCTACACGATTTCCCAGCTTCTCACGAGGTAAAGTTTCCCACGCACCTTCTGTTTTGGTACCAGGTCTTCACCTGGGTCTCCGACAGCGACAAGGCGTCGGCAACGTCGCTGCGATCCGCCACGCTCAGATACTTCTGACAACGAAATTTCCTCTCGAGGTAAGCCAGCTGGGCATGAGTGAAGGCGGTACGTCGCCTTCGCGGTTTCCTGCCGGTCGGCGGTGCGCTGCTGGTCACACCGCAGGACTTTCCGGACGTGCCCGCGAGGCCGGGCGACGGTGAAAGCGCCGGAGGTGGACTTCCTAGACGCGTGCAAGGACTACTGCCGGGATCGATGGTGTCCTCCGAATCTGAGTGGACGGCCGAATCGTCCTCTGAGTCTTCTGCGGCAATAAAACAGCTCTGACGTTCAATGTGTCTTCAATATTTCTCATCGTCGTCCGCGCTTCGAGGAAATGTTTTTCTTGCCTCTAGTGCATAATGCATGTAAATTGATGCATGATTAACCCCTCAAGTCCTTGTGTGTTCTTAAAAATACGGCATGTAATATGTTGGGAAATAAAAATAATTTTAATTGACCTCTGCATAGAAAAAATTAGTTTTGAATCAATGATAGATATGTTCATATATAAACAAAAATATCATAATATTCTTAAGAGATTTTTAGTCTTGAATTAAGTGCAAATAATACTTGCATCAATATAAATTCGATAAAATCAAAATAAAAAATCTTCTAACAAGATTATAATATTCTTGCTTATATATGAGAATATCCTTCATTGATTTAAACATATAAGACTCATTTTTTTCCATGTATGCATGTCATAACAGAAAACTTTCGGAACAATCTACCATCTGTACAGTTTATTTACCTTGAAAAAAATCGTTCCCATATTCATCAATTTTCTAAATTTTATAATTAAAAGTCTTAATCTCCCTCTACCGAAACCATTTTTCAAATCAAACTTGAAACATTACTCATTTGTCTGAGATATCGCTTTATTAAAATAACACTAAAATTCCAAGACAAAAATTGAACCTGAAAAAATCAAATTGAATAATATCGTAATACGTAATAATTTGTCACACTGGAAGTCTCCGATGCGATATCCATAGAGGTAATCGACATATTAAATAACAATCACAAAATATTGAACATTCAATTAAAATGCTCTAATTGTTCCTTAATAAATCATTTATCACAAAGCAAAGTAACATCACGCAGATGTATCTAAATTTATTAGCTCATACCACAAGATACTACACTGAGAAAAAAATGCTTAAAAATTTATTTATAAGATATAAGGTTTATATCTATGTAATAAACCTTAAATTTCACCAAAAAATCTTTAAATGTTCTTTTCAGTGTATTATAAATTTTCATATTTCTTTATGCAAAAAACAGGATCCACCATGCGAGAAATATTACTTTACCATTGCTTCGGTACTGTTGCTTTTATGAATAACATTAATTTGATTATCTCTCAACAAGAGATAAACGGACGGCAGATATAAAAATGCGTTCCTCCGCTCTGTCGTACAAACAATCACAGATACTTTCCGACTGATCTAACCAGCGAATCCGGTCAGTCGGTCGGTCGGGCAAAATCCATTAGCGAAACAATAAACTAGCTAACGACTCGAGCGACTGTGATCGATCTCGGTTAGAGCAAACCATTACAATTAGCGCGAGCCGTAGTATCCCCTCACGATCAGCCAATAAAGTCTCGACGGCGCGCCAGGGGGTAATAATCTTCGATGAAAATCCACGGGCCTAACGAGCTCTAACGAATCCTTCGGCACCTCGAACCATCTGTAGAATCGTTCCTAATGGGGTACCACCTCCGAGGGGATTGCGTAGGGGTCACCCTTGGTGGCCTTATGGATGATGGCGATTTAAATAATAGGAGCGCACCACGGGGTCCACTTTCTAACGAGAACGCCGTCGATCCGCCACGCGTCCGAAAATGTTCGCGTGGAAAAAAATAAGAGAAAGAAAGCAAAAAAAAACACGAATACTCTCGTTCACGTGTGACCACGGGAAGGATTGCGTGATCGACGGGTGAATGAGAAAAATTCGCGCGACGATTTCGCGTCGATAATCATCATCCACCGGTCTATATCCTCCATGTAACTTTGAATTCTTAATACAATTAATTAACACGTTTAATGCCGTGGGAATTACCGGTGACCGGAAATATGGTATTGTTAAATATTGCATATGAAATACAATTAAAATTGCATCTGCGAAGTGAGTTGTACGACTAATAGAAAGTTAGTGAAACTAGGTAAGATATATATGTACCCTGAATTATATTTATTTATCGTATCTTTTTAGAGTGATTCAATCATTATATAGTTAGACGTTTCTACGATCAATGGTAATCAGCACGGCAATCAATATGTTAACAAATCCCGCTAGAGGCATTAAATCGCATTGGCTAAAGTTCACCGGAGATTAACATCGAGATTTGTTTCCACGAAATTCATTATCACAATTTATTTGTAGAGGATTTCCCCTACACCTCATCTTTTCTCACATAATTGTATAAAACAGATTTAAATAACGAGGATCGTCAAAAACGTTTTTCTATCACGCACACTGAGAACAAATATTTTAGTTTTTGTAATCGCAATCGCATAAGTAGAATAATTATAGTCAGGAACACTATTTTTTCATATTGAGAGGAAAAATATCTAAAAAATAAAAATATCTAATCGACAGGTACTAATAACACATCTACATAAATCTAAACACTTTTATACAATAGATTAAATAATTATTTTCATGAAAAACTGCAGCTTTAAGAAAACATGAGTTTTCGAAACAATTTTTTTTTCAATGTAAAAATATATACCTTGGTATAAATAAATATATTATTAGTATTCACCGAATAAATTTTTTTATTTGTAGATATTCTTACTCTTAATGCAGTGTTATTAGTATTAAGTTATTAGTATCAATGGTATTAATCTTACGCGCATATTATTACTCCTCTTTTTTAAACTAAAACCAGAAGAAGAAATAGTTGAGGTCGAAATGACTAGTATAATTTTAGCGGGATTTTTCTCAGTATACATACTGAGTACTGAGAGAAAAGGTATTCTTTGTATTTTATAGACGTGCTTGGGTTTGTTTAATATAAACAAGATAATTTAATATAAACAAGATAATAAAATATCATTTTGTTTGAATGAAAATGTTGTTGTTTCACCAGAGTAAATTATATTGTTCAATAGAAAAAACGGTATTCTTTAGCAAAAATCATATTTCGTTTACCATTAAAAAATTATTTCATTATATATTAAATATCGTCCCACAGAAACTGAAATAGAATGGAGTCCTTGAATATATTTCTAACACAATATTACTCCTTTCAAATAATTTATTGCTCGTAACAACCATAACACTTGGATGAAAATACGAAAGAAATATGTCATTTGACGTGTATAAAGATATTCGTATCGCTTGAGAAACCAAACAATCCTGTTTGTTAAATCGAACACTTGTTCCGTTCGTTCCATTTCAGAAGGCAAATTTGCTTCGATTGAAGAAACTTCATTGATCAAATCCAAGGAAATCATTCTTCCCGTGCGACTCTGACCTCTCTCTTTCTCATGTTAAAGCTAAACAGCGCTCTTTTCCGCGCCGTCACGCCCCGCACTTAATCCACAATGAAAGTACCTTGCACTCGGTCGGCCAACACGTCCCCCAGGAGGTCTCTGATCAGAAAGGACTTGTGCTCCTGCATCATCGCTTTCGGAGTGGACCACGACACCACGGCCCAGATCGCGATTATAGCCACGCTGCAGCGGCACACGAACAACAACAACAGCGGCGGCGGCAACAACAATCATCCGCGATCAATCCAGTACAAACTGTGTCGATGCACTTGCACCGGGAGGCCCGAGTGCTACCGTTCGGACGGTCCGCGTCGCCCTGCGTCGCCGATGGCAGCCTCACGGATGGCCGAAAACCCGGTACCGTCCTCGCCAACGACCTTCCTCTAGACCGACGTCGTCGTCGTCGACGACGAGAGCACGCCGGACGAGCACACGCGGGGGGTGGAGACACGAGAAGTTAGCACGCACGCGAAGCCGCGAGGGAGCGGGGAGGGGGAGGGAGTACGCGCTCGCTTACCCCTCCGTACCGTCCCGCGACCCCCTCGCGAATTAATCCGCCCGTTTATTTCGAACGGGCTGCCTAATGCCCGCGCGATTTCGCAGCCATTTTGGGGGTGGCCATGCTCACCCCAACGCGGCCTCGGCGTCGGGCGTCTCCGCCGATTGGTGCGCGGAAGCTGGAGCGCGTCGGCGAGGCGACCGGGTTCCGACGTCGCCATTGGTCGGGCGAAAGTACCCTGCGCGAAAGGGGGTGATTCCGCGGCACAACCCCCTCGTGTCGACAATCCGGCGTATATACCGGTGCACGCTTCGTTTTAAGTGGACGCCGAGGGGGTCGCGGAGGGGCTCCGCAGTTGCACTGGAAGCTGAAGATGGGCGGATGGTGGGGCAGGGGGAGGGGGCGGAAGGAGAAGCTTCGAGGGTGCAGGGGAGGGTGGAAGAGAGGAGGAGGATAGAGAGGCAGACGGGGGAAGTCATTGGCGAGCGATTACGGCGAAACGAGAGGAACAAATTGAATGTAAAACTTTTCTGCGGAAGATACACACAGCTGCTTTCTATGATTCTCCAGCGGTTTGAAAAGCGGGACGCGCTCGCCGAGTTACCGCTGTCTCGGTCGCCTCGTCGCTCGCTCGCCCATCGGCTTCGTTACGATTGTTACGGCCTCCGTCGGGCGCACGGATGCAACGGGGGATGCGAGTTCGACCAACATTTCCGTTACCCCCGAGTACTCTCGAGCGTATTCTCCCGGCGAGCTAGCGGCCGCGCGAAACCGATCCCGGGGAAAATGCCGTTCTGATGGTACGCCCGGATTAAAGGTCGCAACACTTCGTGTGCGATAGGAAAATATGTCTTCTGATAATTGCTAGAAAATAAAAAGAATATGAATGAAAAGGAAAGTTGTGGCGACTTTTAAGAGAAAAAAAGGAAGGGTTAGAATCAAGTTAACGTAACTTTTCTGTTTCTCAGCCTCTCAAAATCAAATAATATTTTTGTCAATTTAAATATAGTTTAATAGCTTGTAGTAGATACTAACTTCAACGCAGTAATACTTTAATTTGTAAATATAAGTATAAAGTGATCCCAAATTTAAGAGAATACTTTGACCTTCGCATAAGATTATATATTCTTGCTTATATATGAGTCTTGAATTGATACTTATTTCTTTCCGCGTATTTATACGAAGGGAATATCGTATCGACTATGTAGTCAATCATATCTCTATTTCTAGTATATATCTGAATATTCTAGTATATATCTCTAGTATATATCTGTATCTAGTATATATCTCTAGTATATATTTGAAGAAGCGTATTGCAGTAAACATTTTATTTGAATCTAGTAAATATTACTTACACGGTCACGCTTGTTTTCAGTGTACCGACTGTGTAAAAATCTGCGAAGATAATTACTTGTTTTTAGTTTTAGTTCCTATTATCATCCGATTATTTCTTTAGTTTCCTTATTTATTTAGTCGCGATGTAAGTCGTCGTTTATGATATATGTAGCGCACGTGCAAAAGCGAGAGAAAGAGAAAAAGAAAGAAAACGAGAGAGAGAGAGAGAGAGAGAGAGAGTCAAGCGTAAAAATGCGAACGGCATCACGACGAAAAAAAATCAATTCGCTTACCGCGAGTATAACGCGGGCTGCGCATCAGCGTTTGCATAAATACGTCCTCGGCAGTTCGAGGATGTGCCCCCCTTCCCTCCCGCGTGCCCCGCGTGCCCCTCGTGTACCATTCGTCGGCTCGAAGCTAGAAGTAGTTTGCGAGCGTAAATATGCATGATGCATGCAACCATCCTGTGTGAGCTCCATACACCCTCCCTCTCCACCAGCCCGCCCCGTCGCCCGCACTTGCAACCGAGCCAACCCCCCGTTTCTTCCATTTCTCTCCGGCGGCATACAGAGTTAGTCTATTCATCGCACTGCCACTTACCCCGTTTTAAGCACCCCGCCGGCGTGCGGCTGCATAAGCGTGTGTACGTTTCACGCTACCTGCCCGCCTATCCTATCTACCTGTCTATCCGGCTACAGCCGTGAGATCATCCAGGGTGAATTCAGGGACGCACAGCGGGGGTAAGAGAAGCTAACGCAATGTCTCCCGCGTAGAATATCTCTCGCAGAATGTGGCGAACGGGAGAAAGCCGCGTATCTCGTCGATAACATCCAACGATGTACAGTCAGTTTCAATGACTTCAATGATGTAGACTCTGCGAAAGCGCCGGGGAAGACCTCGCGAAGTGAGATCTCGTCAGATGGTAGAAAGATGAAAAAATCCAAGGTAAAAGATGGCGGAGCCTGATGCTTCGATATTCGTCGTCGTTGTTGTCGTCGAATTTTCCGAGGAATTTTGCGAGGAACGCCGGCGCGGCCGGTCGCATAACATTAATTAAGGCATCAATTAATTCCGATTGCGCGAGCTCGCCGGCGAGGTGAATTTCTTCGGCGAGCGACGTGCCGCGTGGCGTCGCATAAAAGCGTCGCTCTTCCACGTGCTTTCTAAGTCGCGCGGCGTAGCGGAAATCAACGGGCGGGCGTCGGCGGCGTTTTAAATGACGGCGTCATCGCGGCGCACGAGAGACCCTCCTCGGCTGGAGCGAGCCGAGATTGGCGCGCGCGTTTCGGAATTCATTAGGATTAACGTATGCAGCAGATTAATTCAAGGGGCGGCAAAGCGGCCAGGCGCGTCCTTCACGGGCGCGGAAAAAGGGCGCCGAGGAGGATCGCCGGAATAAATGCACGCCGGGAGACGGACTAAATTGAGGAGGCTGCGAGAAACAAAGAGAACCCAACCCCTGGCTCCGATGTTCTCTCGCCGACCGCGAGCGAGGAGGCGACGTGTTAATCGCCCTTCGAGATGCCTTTCGATCGGCACCGACGAAAGGAAGCTCGCGGATCCCAAAATTGGCTGTTTCTTCCAAGAAGAAATTCGCAAGAATGCGCGCCCATAGCATGCGGGAGATAATATTAGAGACGTCTTAAAATATTAGTAGACATCTTTCAGACAATAAAATATCTAAAGGACGGTCTTGGAGATGACGTCCCCGAGATATACGTGTTGTTTGGGAGATTAACTGTCGCACGGGCCTGATTTAGAAGAAGATATATAAATCAGTAAATTGCGAATTTATAAATTACATTTAAAAATAAATCAAAATTTCGGCGTCCATCTATCAACGATAAACAATCGCGCAATTTTCTCAATTAGAGCGATTCAATGAGTCTTCTTTGCAGAAGGACTTAATTCGGTGATGTTGAGCGCGAGAAGGAGAGGGAGAGAGAGAGAGAGAGAGACACGCAACGCGGAAACAGTTTATCGCATTTATCTCGTACGTCCTCGATGAAGGCAAATAAATGATAATAAGAGCGGAGGGTGATTCGCGTAGAATAACCTACGAATCATCACCCCAGTTGGCTGATCATTATCGGCAATTTGCGACATTCGCTCCCTCGTGGCATCCGTGATCCCATCTCTCCGAGCGCTTCTCGTTCTCTTTCTCTCTCTCTCTCTCTTTCGTCGTGCAAATAGGATTTCGCTGGAAACGAATCGCTCGACGGGGCACGACCGAATAAATCTGTAAATTAGACGTATGGGCGATCCAATTTTCGGCAACGCGACATTGCGTCGGGACCCTTACGAGCGCATTGTTACAAACATCTTTTGTATCGCGTAGGATAGCTTGCAACGATAATAATTGTCGATATAAATTGACACGTGAATGGGTTCCGCATTGCTGGCTAAGCGAAATATAACCACAATTATCATCGGCAAAAAAAAGTTAAGTCGCGGAATTCTATTGAGGTGATTTCGACGAAATCGGCAAAAAATGTGGAACGCTTCACGATTTTGCGTGTCATCCTTGCGCAGGGGCCATGCTAATCTTCTCTGTATCGTTCCAATTTTAGTATATGTACTGCCGAAGCAAGTACGGTAGTACGTGTTTTCGTACTTATATATAAGGTAAGAGGTAGTTGCAAGAGTACTCTCGAGAAAATCTCAATGCTACAATAGTGTCGCTGCCCAAATCGCAACCTAGCGGAGTCTGAGCGAACTAGACTGCTGCGAGCAGGAACAGATACCGGCGGTTTCCTTTGACTGTCATATATTGAACCTAGCAATCAATACACGGCCAGGTTTTTCATTTACTAGTCAACTTGTGATTTAAACTTATCATAATACAAAAATGGTGTTTTTCTATTTATCGTTGATGATTAAACTAATATATAAAATTATATATAATAAATAAATATATATATGTGTGTGTGTGTGTGTGTGTGTGTGTGTGTGTGTGTGTGTGTGATAATAATAATAATATAAAATGTATATAATAGTATAAAATAATATAAAGTGTGTGTGTGTGTGTGTGATGATAATAATAATATAAAATATATAATAATATAATAATATAATATTGCAAATCGCAAAATCGTTACTATGTACGCAAATTATATAAGGCAATATAAAAAATAAAAAGAAAGCAGTTCTTCATTCTTTTGTGCGACAGGGGATCTGTCCGGACTTGTGGATTTGCCCTTCGACCGAACGTCAATTGCTCGCTACGCGCGGACGATTCGATCGGCAGAAAATTCCGACGGTGTCTGGCGCATCGATAACAATAACAGCGCGGTGGTGGATCATCCTGGCGAACAGTCGAACATAGATAAAGCACTAACTGCGAAGGAGATCACGGCGGGGC